ATAAGGTCTTTTGCGTACAACGGGTACGAGACAAATGCAATTTTCCATTACATTGGTGACATACAAAACCAATCTTCTTGTTACCATGTCCACTTCTTTCTTTGCCCTTGGATTCTTCAATTTCCACTTCTGGGGAATATATGGGCTTTTGGAACTTGCATTTTCTACATATCAATGTATGATTGATAAGAATAGGATAACACGGAGAACTGAGAAATTAACTCATCACTTATATTACTTTTCTTGTTAATCCAAATAGATCGACGTGATAAAATATCAATGGATATGAGAAGTAGCACCCATCTTAATATATTGGATTGAGATAATCTTAACACAAATAAGACAATACGATAAGAAAGGATCTAAGATTTACATACCTTGATCATATTGTGATCTTACTCCAATATCTTAGATTATGTCGAGAATCTTTGAGGCTTGAGCAATGATAATTTTGGCAAAGCTTCGTACTGATAACGTGTTATGAAACTAATGTAATATAAGCAACTACAAGAGAAGATTAGAGAGGGAAAGACACAAAGAAGATGGGGGGAAGTGAGCTTTCTTATTCATCATTCTCTTTTGATACAATGATGTGCTTTATTTATAGGCACACCTTGGTAACCACTACATTCTTATATTAATGAGAGATAATGAAACATAAAGAAGCTATCAAATGTAGAAATGGGGTTACATGTAACTCCCAAGTGAGCATCTAATGTGGTAATGGCAATGGTCATCCATATATCAATATTTACATAAATAACTAACCATAAATGAGGGTCGTTTGCTTGTTGGATTTGAAAAATGAGGGTTTTGGCCCATAAAAACCTTGGGATTTATGTTGGATTTATTGGATTATGGATTTGAAGAGTCTAATTTTGCATGATAGATTTGATGATGGGTTTGTTAAATAAATAACTAACCATCAAGGATTTGCAAATCTCAAATCAATATGTGATATTTACAAGTCCGTGGGGTCCACGAATTTGCTTCCAAAATAAAGACCAAATCCGTGGACCCCACGGATATAGCACCCTTCAACAAACAATGAACTTATGTTAAATCTATCAAGTTTGGGATTTGGGTTCCAAATCCATGACCCAAATCCAACAAGCAAACGACCCCTAAATCGACCCAAACCGCCGCATCTCTCCTTCTCACTTCTTTTCGTATTTCGATCGACCATCTCCTTCTCCGTTTCATTTCTAGTGAAACACGAGGAGCAAGGAAGAAAAGCAAAACGACAACGACATGGGAAACGACGGTGCAAAATGACGTCGGCAAAGGTAATAGTTTCATTTGGGGTTTGCATGTCGTTTTTTATTAAGGACTTTCCAATTTCATTCCGGGTTTGGGGGTATTTTTAAGGTTCTAACAGATTAATATTTCTGGTTTTTTAGGTTTGATAAAAGGGAGAAAACGGGGTGAAAAGGAACCATGGAGGAGAAAGAAAGAGCTACTGGGGAAAAAGAAAAGTCACCGCCGACGAGAACTGGCCGTGTCGCCGGCGCCTGGCATCACAGAAAGGTGAGGAGTTCTGGTTTTCTATGGTTTTGGTAGTTTGGGATTTGATGATTGATGGTTATTTGTTTGGGGTCTTAGGTCGGATTTCGGCTATGAATTGAGGAAATTGTGTTTGATGGGTTATGAATTCTGAAATTGGATTGTGGTGGACAAAGTCTGAAGATTGTGTTTTGTGGTAATTGAATGTGGAATTTTGTGTATGTTGGTGTTAATAGTGTGATTGATTTGAGTTTTGTACAGGTATTTAGGGTCATGTTTCTGGGTTTTGGGGTTCATGGTTTGAAAAGCTCATACTTGATCATTTGATTGGAGGGAGTTTCGAATGGTTAATTTTGGGGTTAATTTGGAGTTTTGTAAATTTGTGATGTTTTTGAAACTGAAAAATGTGTGGTGTTTATGGTGGAGGTGTATGGTTTGGACTTTGGGTTGGTTTGGGACTATAATTTGGGAAAACATGGTAGTTGGTTGTCTTTGTTTGAGATTATTCTTTCTACGGGTGTTTATGATTTTGGTAAAGTGGGTTTAGATTGTAAGGGGCTCCTTTAAAACAAAAGAGGTATTCTAAAGTCCCTGCAAAGTTTAGTTTTTGTCGAGTTTTTTGTCCTAAATTTGGATGTGATAGCTTGTTTAATTTTGACGTATCGATTCTATTTTGCTAGCCTAGAGAGTGGATTTTTAGTTTGATTGTGGTACTTTAGCATAAATTAAAGGGTAATGTCTATTTATTAGCCAAATCATTTTTGGATTCTTTTTTATTAGCCAAACCTATCAAAATACTAAGAATTAGCCAAATGTTAACTTCTAGTTATCAATTTTGTTAGTAATATTAACTTGGCAACATGATACTGACTTAGAATAGACACATGAATGTCAACATTCCAAAATTTTGGTATTTTAACTAAAAAAAGAGTTACAAAATTATTAACGATAACATAAAAACGGCTAATATTTTGATGCATTACGAAAGATTTGGCTAATTAATAGTATTTTAATAGGTTTGAATACTATAAAAGAATCTAAAAAAGGTTTGAATAAAAAATAGACATTACCCTAAATTAAATCAAAGACAAAGTCAACACGAGGAGGTCTAGTCTCATGTATGATATGTTTGTAAATAAAGGACAAATAGCAAATATAATAGAAGTTTTAACACTAAAGCAAGAAAATAAAGAGATATCTGTTTTTTTTTTCTTTTTTGCCAGAATACGAAAGCGACATGCTTGGGATGAATTGGTTTCTGTCTTTTAGAATCACTTGTTTAAAGAAAGGTAGAAGTATAGGTGAAAATGAGAATGATGATGAATGATAGTGGTGGTCGAATCCGATAATGACCAACCTTCAATACTTTGAAGATTTAGGATGGTTCTACCTTCAAGCTCTTTGTCGTTCTCGCTGTTGGCGTTGCCTTTTTGCTGTTTGCTTGTTGTTGTCTCTTTCTGTTTTGTTGTTGATGCTTGGTAAAAAGAATAGGATGCGGTATGGCGTCGTTTCTATGTTTTGCTGTGTTTTTTTTCGTTTTGATGGTGTTGTTGGGGTTAAGATTAGGGAATTTGCAGAGTTCTTGTTTCTCTCTCTCTTCTCCTTGTTTTTCTGTCTTGCTGTTTGGAAGAGAAGGTAGCTCTTTTAGTGGACCCAGAAATGTAATCAAGAGTATTCAGCCATAGATCAAAATCATTAAGGGTTGTCAAATAATCTTACATTTGAATACTATAATCACTAAAACAAAATTTTACAGTGATTTTGGTATCGCAAATTGGATCCAAGGTTTTTCAATTGACAAACCTTTCACCCACTTGGGTCCGCCCTCTTTATTTTATGTTGTGTGTGTAGTGGGTCTGTGAGTGAGAAGAAAAAGAAAGGAAGTAGGGAGGTCTCGCAGAGTTGTCTGCTGTGTTTTTTGGATCAGAGAAGGAGGAGAGAGTTTGTAATAACTTTGCTGAGTTTCCTTTTGTCTTGTGTGATGTGTCGTCTTAGTGAAAAGAAGAAGGAAAAGAAGCTTTGATCTGTTGTTCGTGGGGAGGAGGATCAGGAAGGAGAAGAAAGAAAAGAAAGCCACCCCTGTGTTGTTGGTGGAAAAATGAAGAAGCTAAAGATCAGCCTAAAACTCCTCTTTCTTGTTCTCCAATCCCTTTTTTTATAGTAAAAATGATGTATTGTAGCGCTAGATTAGAATAGGTTGGTGTCTTTTTCTGATTGGCTGAGGAGTGGGCTGGACTTGGTCTGGTTCGACCAGACTAGTTAGGCCGAGTTGGGCTTGGTCCAAATTTGAGTGGGCTTTGACTTGTTGACTTTTGATTAGGCTTGGTTGACTTGACTAGTGGTCTGGAATTAGTTGAATTTGGGCTTTGTCTTGGACAGGCTTTCATTGAGCGTGTTTGATTCGAATTGACCAGGGTTTGGGCTTGGTCTTGGACTTGAACTTGAACCCAATTTCTGTTGAACTATGTAATTGTATTATGCAATTATTATGCCATAGCTTTGTAATTATAATGTAATTGTTCTAATATAATTGCTTAATTTTTTAATTCAACTTCTCTTATTCTCTTTAAATCGGAGCTCAATGCAATAAAAAACCAAACCGTCCAAGCACAATTGAATCATCAATCTAAAGGCAACCAAATCAAGCAACTGCTTAATTTAGGTTGTCTCAATCGAGATTTGCTATTGCTAATCTCAATGAATTAAGTCAAATGTGATTAATCTTAAATAGTACATATACCCTTTTAGTTAGATAATTGTTTAGGATTGCTACTGCCCAATTTAAATAAAAATTAAAAATTAAATAATTAGATATGTTTTAACCCGGACTAAATGGGGTGTCTACACCTTTATTCTCTGAACTGTTTTATGATAATTATTAGAATGCCTTTGTTTTTATTTATCATGAAACTTCAAATTTCGGCCTGAACGCATCGAATTAACTAATAAAAACTTAGAATTTTAGTATGAACAACGAACCAGTTTTATTCTAATTATTACAATGCTTTTTTATTGAAAATCACTACGCACTAATTATCAAATTCAACTTATACCGTCGCATCTCAACAAATTAACTAATTAATCTGAAGACCGAGATCCTTATAACGCCTACGTAATTCCCTATTTAATCCAATGCCGCTTCAAGATAATCGGTTCTGCGGTTAACGTGTTAACCGATAACCGTACCGGTAACCGCAGTTATCGGTTAACCCGTTAACCGAAGCAAACGGTAATCGGCTGGGATTTTGGTTGCAGCGGTATACCGTGATCTGATTGGAAGAATACCGATGGCCGATCGGTATTCCGATACCGAATTGGAAGTGGCAATCGCCAGCTGAATTCCAAACGTCGACAACCCAAATTCCCAAAACAATTAAACTAAAGCCCTACTCTAAGCGATTAACCTTACGTCCTTACCCTATATTTGCAGCGCTCTTTATTTCCCCTGCCTGTTGCCCTACCATGCTGGCTGCTGCACGAGCACGACGACTACATGAATGATTGCCGATCACTGCTCGTTCATCGAACCCGACAGTATCTTCGTCATTTCCGTCGCCGGCAACAAGCTCCATCCAAGAGACAGACACGACACAGAGCAGCAGCCGTCATCCTCTCCGCCAAACTCTGTTACCGTCAAACCCTTTCGCCGTTGCCCTGTTTCCATCGAACCCCGTCGTCGTCAATCGAAACCGGTAGGCGGTAGTATCTTCGTCGTCCTCGTCGCTGGCGCAAGCTCCGGTCAAGAGACACGACATAGCAGCCCTCGTCCTCTCTGCTAGGCTCTGTTTTTGACTTTTCGTCAAGTCCCGTCGACATTGCCCTATTTGCGTCGAACGTGGTCGCCGTCCGAAGTTAATCGCCGTCCAAAGTTAATAGGGAACTTCCCCCACTCATTTGAGAGTTGCTGCTTACCAAGCATGGGAGTTTGGCAGTTTGCTATCTTCAATTATTGATATTGCCATTTGCTGGACGAGAGACACCGCCTCCATTTCGGGACTTCGGGAAACCGATTCCTTAACCGAAACCGTTTGCAAACGGTTGGCGGTATACCGAAGCAAATCGGTATCGGCAGTCGGCGCCTGCATCAGGTCAGCCGGTATACACGAAACCGGTTAAACGGTAACCGGTAAACCGTTAACCGTACCGGTTAGCACCCCTAATGATTTGTTTACTTACTAGTTTATTACTAGTTTATTAGTTGACTGACACTTTGCACTTTCAGTTTTGTGGCATCACCTCAATGGGGGTTGGGGTACAAAGAGATGCTTTTACGGGATTTTTCCAATAATAGCACCTTTAAAAAAAATTGCAAAACTAGCACCCATATGAAAAAATTGACAGAAATAACACCAATTTTTTTGGAACACACCCCTAAGATGCGTTTTATAAGTAAAACGCACCGGAAGGTTGCGTTCTACTTATAAAACGCATCAGAGGGGTGCGTTTCCTCAAAACCCGCCGAGCCGAGCCGAAGCTCTGTCCGAATCGCGCCAAAAAATGGCCGATTGGTGGCAAGGAGAAGGAGTTTATGTTGATGAATTTCAAGCGGTACATACTCATTATTCTGGTTTAATTTTTGTTCTTGTTATAAGCTTTTTAATTAATCTATGTACTAACCTCGTTGTTATTTTCTCGTAGGTTGGGGAGGACGTGGATATATACAACCAACGGTATTATCTCGAGCAAGGACCGTTGGATCCAACCGACTTGTACGATCAACCCAACCATCGGTCAAGGGATGTTTGGAACGCTCACTCGGTACATACAATTCTTTACCATTTGCCCTTCTTTTATTTTGTTAATGTATTTAGTGGAATATAAAATAAATTTATGTTGAATTTTTAATCGTGTTGGTTGTTTTCAATAATTTAATCGAATACATAGCGCCACTTACTTCGACTCTTTATAAAGAGATGCACGTCTAAGGAAATGGGGTTTTAAGCGATTATCATATCCTCCCATTCCCTGGGAAAATCGGGTATTAAGAGATCCTCAGATCCCCCCTTTTTCTGTCAAAAAGACTGCGTTTCGAAGATGTATACCTCTTCTAAGAGTCTAACGAGTGTTGCTTTGTATTCGATTAAATTATTTAAAACAACCAACACGATTAAATTATTTACCAAACAACCCTTACGATTTATTTTGATGTGTAGAAAATGAATTTTATTAATTTCAAACATTTGAATATGTATGTTTCTCTTAAATTATTATTCATTAACAATGTCATTTATTTTAGTTAATTTAGTATGTTTGTTTTACGATAATATGTATGTATCTCTTTAAATTATAATATGTATGTATCTCTTTAAATTATTATTAATTTAGAATGCTATTATGTTAATTATATGAAATGTCTTTTTATTATAATAAAATTCTGCTTGAAGTTAAATAATTTAATTTAATTAATTTAGTTATAAAGAATAAACTCTTACTAAAATTCTGCCGAGTCATTGCTTCTGTCTCAATGGCGTGCCGCACCTCCTTCTTCGAGCCAAATTGTTGGTCTCTTCTGTGTAACCATTCCACCGTAAGCCAAGCGTGAACTTTTGGAATGCCATCTGCGATAAAACCGTAGTTCAGTTAATATCATAAAAATCAAAAATAAAAAATAACAATAAAAAGTAATACTAAATAAACTTACGAGTTAACGTTAATCGCAAAACTACTAAAGAAATATAGAGCTACAACAGAAAATTGAAAAGGGAGAAGGAGAGGTGTGAAGAGAAGTGGTTGTCCGGGAGGCCTTTTATAGGCAAAATCACTGATGAAAACCGCACCTTAGAGGTGCGGTTTTCGTCTGCCATGCAGACCCATGCAGACCCACGTCTGTTACGTCTGCATGGTATGTCGGAAATTGATTGACCAAAACCGCACCTTCAAGGTGCGGTTTGTATGGCAAAATCACACCATGAGGATGCGGTTTTGTTTGGGAGAAACAAACCGCACCTTTATGATGCGGTTTTAATAGGTCATGCCAAAACCGAACCTCGGCCAAGTGGTTTCTGTAGGTCAGACCTAAAACCGCTTGGCCAAAATGCGGTTTGGGTCCAGAAATTTAGAACGCACCTTACTGGTGCGGTTTATTTATAAAACGCACTCTTAGGGTGCGGTTTAAATGTAAAACGCACCTATAAGGTGCGGTCTATTAAAAATGGTGCTATTAGTGTAAATTTTTTCGGATGGGTGCTATTTTTGTAATTTTTTTTAAAGGTGCTATTTCTGGAAAAATCCCTGCTTTTATAGACCAACTTTTTGCGGCACTCCACCTGATTCAACATTCAAAGTACTCATATCTAGACTAATTTACTACATGTCTACAACTATTTGTTAGTTTCTATATATTTCTTAATTAGGATATACATCTTACTCATATTTTTCTATAGAAGAACTAATCGGATGATTTTCTTGCGCATCAAGGGCATATGACATTCCTAAATTTACATTTTATCAATGTTCTAAACTCCAACTTTTCTTATTTGGCTGATGTATTATGCAATTGGATGATGAAATGTTTCAAAAGTTATTCAGCATTTTGATGCGACATGATTGTAGCCAGACTAGCAAATGTGCTCTACCTTCGTTCTGCTAAAAAGGGAATGGTTGTGTTGTGATGATTAAGACCAACCAGCTGTGACATTAAATTCCCAGGGAACCACAACTAGCTAGCCTGAGGTAGCTGCGGACTACATGTGCCATTTAATCTTTTTAACCGAACTTTCCTCCCTCCTTCTTCATCAACTAGTTTAGTTGAATTCACATTACAAAGTTGAGTTCGGTCGGCGCGACCGACTAATTACATATCACATGAAGTTCCTATCCTATTGCCAAAGAATTATACTTCTTTCTCGACAATCTCCTTTATTAATTGGTTCGAGGTTATAAAATATGAGTTAAATTCCGATACAAATTACTTCGTCCTGTAAAACTCACGTTCGTATCGTTGTACCACAACATAGTCATATGATGATATGATTGAGTTTTACATGACTTTGCAGATTGAGATACTACACCTATCTGTTCCGATAAAATATAGAGGAATATATAGTTCAAAAAATGTATAAAACTGGTAAAACGGTGGAGCATCATCCGCCTCCATCTAAAATTGGAGCACTTCTACTATGCTATATAGTATTGGTGCTTTAATGTACAACTTAAAGTTGTACCATAACATGAAATGTATAAGTTTAGATTGTACCATAAAAGAATTTGTATCATTATGTTATGGTACAACTTTACAACTTGAAGTTGTACCATCATATAAAGGTACAAGTTCAAGTTGTACCATACAAGAATTTGTAAAAATAGTATAGGTATAATCTAAAATTGTACCATAACGTTAAATGTACAATTTCAAATTGTACCATAAAGGCAAAAACCTATAGCACCAATACTATATAGCATTGTAAAATTCCTCCTAAAATTGAGGTTCCATCTTATTATTATTGATAAGGTTGACCCCTTAGCCCCTCCCTCTAAAATTAAACGTTCCATCTTATTATTATTGATAAGGTTGACCCCATTCTATTAAGAAGATAACAGTCAATGTGGTAATAGTAGAGTTAAATAACTCATGAATTGTTCATGTAGTATTTCATTGTTATTTCAGTGGTAATTGGATTAATAATTGGATTAATGTAACTCGTTTGGTAGAATCATGTAAATGTAATATTTGGCAAAAGCATAGGTGTAAAACGAGTTATTTCAAAATAACACGGGGTAAGAGTTTTTTCAAATAACTTGTTTTGAGGAATTTGTAAAGAACTCTTTGCCCGATTAACTTATTCTGTAAAACGCTCTCAAACGAGTTATTTGTGCCCAAATAACTCATTGTGAGTTATTTGAACCCAAGTAACTCATAAATAAGTCAGTAATACTCCATCAAAACGACCCCCAAGAGTTTAGTGGTAGAGTCAGAAATTCGAACAAGACTCACTTGGATTATCGTAATTGGGGGAGGGGACTAACGTCTTACCGACTATTCTAATTTCTAAATTACTGCAAAATTTACATGTAATTTAACATTTATTTCAAAATTGAGATGAGCCTACAACCTCTGCTAGCTTCAACCTACCTCCACCACTACAAGAGTTATAAGAAATTGAGTACAAATATATTATATTGTGATATTTAAATTTGGAACCAAAAGTTCGTATTTCGATTAATTAATTATTTTATATAACTAAACCAATTAATGTGTTTTGTGTTTATAAATACTGTATGACTTTCATAACTCGAACATTTTTATGGAAATGAAGAAACACATGCATATTTTTGTCATAGATTGTCATCATCACTTGGGGAGTTTGGCACAAACAGCAGACTGGAAAATGGCAGATTGATACGAACGGTGGCTTTCCACAAGTTATTTTTAAGTTTTGGACACATTTATTAATTCTGAGTGTAGTAGTACAATATGAATCATCATCGTTCCCTCATTATTTTTCTACTGTTGCAACATAGCGGCAGTTGTTATGTTACTGTCATTCTTTCTTAGCAGCCAGCACCTCTCCGATCGATCCCGCGCCAATAATGGCGATGACAATATATATAATATGCATACCCGCATTGTTTTCACCTTATGGATGGATCCACACATTATTATTTCATCATAATTCTGTTCCGCCAATTGTCACATGCGATTTTGATTTCTTGCTGCATTTATGTTTGAACAAGGGTGAGTGAAAGGGTAAATTATGTATTTGGTCACTCAAATCACATTTGTCACCCGAATTATTTTTCTTTCTTATTCGCACTAACTTTATGAATTGTTTCACCGTTATTTAACCTGACGTTAGTCTCCGTAAGTTTTCATTAACTCCATTAATTTTTTATGACGTCACAAATGAGGCAGCTGACTGGACCGTTAACTTATTGATATGTCAATTTAAAACAAAATAAAAAATAACCCTGAACTCTTGTCTCATCCTCCTCCTCCAATCGAACCTCTCTGGCTAGGATTTCGCAATCCGCTTCCGCTATTAATTAACTCCAACCATCATCACCCTCACCTCTGCTTCTTCAATTCTGCAAGTTCCCTTCTCCCTCCTCACAAAACCTAATATGAATTCCGTTGGAGTTGGTGGTGGTGGTGATGAGTATTAGCGGTATTTAAAGATTTAACAGTACTCACCTCTACTTCTTCAATTCCGCAAGTTCCCTTCTTTAATTATTTTTTATAATGTATATAATTCCTTCATCCATAATAAGTACTCACTTCTTCGGTTAACAAGACAATCGACGATCCATGCTTCAAAGTTTGATGGCCTGTTTCAGATTGAAGATGATAGTTGGCGAGGACGGCGATTGGCTCTACAACACCAATGCCCTGCCGCTAGCCATGAATTGCAGAGGTTTTCTTGTTCTGCTATGTTCATTCTCTTTCTCGCACCACCGTGCATCTAGCAGTTCACTGCCAACGCCTTCATGCGTCCAGGCTTTGCCTCCATCCATGCAATACTTTCGTGGTTTCCGACTAACTTTTTGCAGGGACTTCAGAGTGGTTGTAGACTATTGGACATCGTCTTTCCGACCAAAAGGGAGGCTTTTCGCCTGACGGCGAGACTATTGAATTATTAGCCTTGAGTAGCGGTGTCTTTTTTGGGTGTGATCCTTTCGGTGTAATTTTATTTGTAATGGGTAAGTTTCATGTAGGCATTCATGATTCTATTTTTGTAAGAATTATTGGCGGGCAGGGTTGCCTTGGATTGGTGCCTCACACATGGTTTTCTTTTGCTCAAATTGCATGGGGATTCACACCTGGTTCTCCGGCGACTCTTGGCGGGAGGTTCTGATCATGTGTCGAGTGATGTGATCCTGGAAGTTATTCATCGTTTGTCCGAATCCTTTGAGTTTTGTTCTTGCTCCCATGTTACTCGTCGAGTTAATAGAGCAGCCCATTTTGTGGCAAAAAACGCTCTCTCATCGGAAGTTCGGATATTAGTCGACTTCCGCCCGTGGATTGTTCTGTTCTTTGACTATGTATCCGAGCTTTCGTTCGGTTTTGACTATGTTAAAAAAAAAAACAAGAAAATTACGTCAAAGCGTATTGAAAGATTTAACAGTAGAGATGTTAAGTGAAGAAGTACACCATAGACCTGGCGGCCCATTTCAAGTTCGATAAGTTGTATTTGACTACAATTAATAAAAAAATAAATTTTATTTTTCCCATATTTTGAATTATTATACAAATTACGTACTCAATTTAATATTATTTAGATAGTAGGGTTAGTCAACTATTGATAGTTAAAGTAAGTGAACTATTTTATTTTAGATACAGAAGCACATCCTGGCTTAGACAATGAAGTACGATAATAGACACACTAGTGATGCATAGTCATAACTCAAAACCAAAATATTAAGTAAGAACTCTGTATTATGCTTGCACTAAACATATCAAGGATGATGTATCTCTAATGTCTAATCCCAAATTTACCTCCATTCCTCATACTAATAATTAACTAACCACCACACAACAACGCCGAACTATTTATTCATGTTTCTTTCTGGACAAATTATGTTTCCAAACAATGTCGGGGGAAAAAAAGAAAAGGTAGAAAAACAACAATTACTACACAAATCTTTTCTCAGTTCACTCATCATACGATATGTTTTCTCGTCTTCAGTTTTGGATCCCCCAATTAATCCATAATAACAGTCTACTCCCCCGTCTTCTTCGTCTTCTCTTCCTCGTCCTTGTTCTGAATCCTGCCGTCGGTCCCGGCCATCATCGCATACTTATCCTTCCTAGTCAGACTGGTACACTCAAACCCCAACGTCCCACCCAACACCTTCTGTATATAATTCGCCACCTCGATCGCCGACTTCCCTCCTCCCTTACACGTCAGCTCCGCCGGCAGCTGGTTCAGGAACGTGATCTCGTAGGTGGGCATCGGGTTCATGAACACAAAATAGGGGTCGAGCAGCTTGTACCCGCGCACCGTCGTCCCGTAGAACACGGACTGCTTCGTGTTCACCGCCACGGGGACGATCCGGTCGGTGAGCTCGGCGAAGAGCGCGCTGAAACGCAGCAGAAACGGCTCCCTGCAGGTGGTCCCCTCGGGGCAGATCACCAGGTCGCCTTCCTCCAGCAGGCGCTTGATGTCCGCCGCGTCCCTCTCACGCTCCCTCGACAGCGCCACCGCCTTGATGGGGGATATGATCTCCGTGAACTTGCTGATGCTGTAGGTGACGCAGCTGATCTTCCGGCCGAGCGCGACGGCGGTGACGACCGGGTCGAGGACGGTGCGGTGGTTGCAGACGAAGAGGACACCCGGCTGGCCCTTTCTCGGAGGCGGCGGCGGGGTGCCTTTGACCACGACCCTGATCCCGAGGAACATGTAGTTGTATCGGGCCAGGCGTTCGGGTAATGGGATGTTGGTGTAGACACGGAGGATGGAGAGGAGGACTCCGATTGGGAACCAGAGGAAGGTTAGGAGCGCGATCAGCGGAGTGGGCCTTTGGACCAGTCGGCCCTCGTGGAATATGATTGGGCTTAGCAGCTTGTTCCGCGGCAGTGGCTCGGTTCGGGTCCGCGGGACCATGTACCCTTCCTGCGAAAAGAAAAATGGAACAGATGATCAGCATTAATTAATTAATTAAAAAAAGAAGAGGAAGAATCGATAATTCGGATGTTTAGATTAAGGGTTGTGGAGGAGATGAGCCCCACTATACAGAAAAAGAGGCACATTTAAGTGCTGCCCGGGCTAAGAAAACGACTTGACTTTTCCGATTTAATTATTTGTGGCAAATAGGATCTTGCCATGCTGGGAAATTAACCAAAGTTGTGGGGTACAATTGTTCGGGCCACCGGTGCATTCAATACATGTACGTTAAAAAAAAAAAAAGAAGTTATTATCATGCCGAACCAGTGGCTAGTTTTATTTAGAATTAATATTTCCTTACTATTTTTACTATATAAAAAAGTGAAATCTAAACATGTGATTGTCGCTAACCTCAAAGTAATAAAAAAAAAAAATCAATGAATATTATGTAATAGCTTTGTAGGTGTTTAGAAGGAAAGGATATCCGTACTAGAATAGAACATGGCTGGTTGCATGATGCATTTTCGTGTCACCAATTGGAACTAACCCTACCTAAGTAGTTTGGACATGAAGGATGCATTTTCCCAGCATTCCCAAACGGTGTGACGAATTTAAATTCCAGAAGATGAACGGCCACACCAATAATTGGTTTATATATAACAGCAAAATAATAATTAATTAAACACTAGAAAAGGAAGAAGAAGAAGAAGAAGGGTAGTTGGAATGCCGTGTAGGTGTAGTAGACCAAAACGAGACACAAAGTTAAAGAAGAAAAACAGGAAACACATGCGATGCCAGTGGTCCACTCCATTTGATCGCGAAAGCCACAATTTATTGACTCACCTATACAGACTTGATCAAATTCAATGCCGCAAAACCATAGAGATAGAGAGAGGACCATTTACTCATTCCATGAAATTAATCGAGGCAGAAATAGTTTCCAGAAATGTATACCGACCTGCACTAGCCTAGAATCTAGCTGGTGGCGATCAGATTCAGATCAGAGCATTGTTGAATTATCTTTTTCATAGTATTTTGTACGTAGTCGTTGGATTAAACTCGACGTTTTCATTAAACGATTCCGCCACATCGACTAATGCAATTCAGAAAGCTAAATATATGTGTGTGTATCGTATATGTGTTGATTGATTTTATATAAATTCGGGCCAGCTAACCCAATCCTCCGCTTACCAACCAACATTTAATACGATGGAAGGCGTAATTCGACGGATGCAAATGCCAATAATATTGTTGTATTGTAAAATGTAAATGGAGCTACGCAACAAAAAACGTACCAAGCCCAACAGTCCTTATACCAATCCAAAACGAGCGGCTTTCTTTTGTAACTTCCACGAATCGAAACTGTAAGTAATGTATAAGTAACAATTAATACCTTGCAGAGGGACATGAAGTCATGATCGGTGTCCCGATCCCCAAGCCCCAAATCGGGCAAGTCCTCCACCCTCGACCCCATCTCCTTGATCAGCGCGTCCCTCTTGTGAACGCCGACGAGGATCCCGGGACCTTTCACGAACCCGGTGGCCCGACCCGACTTGGTCACCTCCAGCTCGGTGCCGAGAACCTTGTCGGCCCCGAGAAACGTCCTCACGAAGGGCTCCACCATCACCCGTGGGTTCGCCGTCACGATGTACCTTTTCCCAAACGAGTTGAACACCCGCCACGTGTCCGGGTGGACGTCGTCGGCGTAGAAGCGGGGGAGCACGGACCGGGCCACGAGCTCGATGTCGCGGATCTTGAGCCCAGCGAGGGCGATGAACACGAAGGACTTGACGGCCAGGGCCTCCGAGACGAGGAGGTACGTGGCGTAGATGAAGGGGCAGGAGGCGAGGAGGAGAAGCGCGCGGAGGAGGCTGCCGGCTTCCAGGGCCACCAGGAGGAAGTAAGGGAAGGAGCTGGTGGAGACGAGGAGGGTCCCGTCCAGGTCGGCCGCCACCGTCTGGTTCGACCGCCCTTCCGTCGGGCACTTCGACACCGGCTCGAAACGGCGCCGCGTTGCCATGACCATTTAATTTTGCTCTTTGTGTCTCTGTGTGTGGGGAGGGAGGGTGAGTTAGCGAGCGAGTTAGTGAGTTAACTCGCAGTCTCTCTCTCTCTGTGTATGAGACGAGTGGTGAGTTGAAGGGGAGAAAATGGATGGGCTTTTATAAATGGGGTTGGGGGGGAGGGGTAAGAAGAAGATGCATGGTGGTGATGGTGATATATTCTGCTGAGCGATAACAAGCAAGCAATATGAGATTTTGGGAGGGGGGAGAATAACATTTATTGATAAAATAAATATAATTGACATAATGACGATAATAAATTGTACGGTTTATGGTTAGGAAAATGGTATCTGCCTGTTTGTTTTTGTGTGTGACTGTGTCTATTATTCAGCTGGCCAGCTAGATAGTTAATTTCCCACTTTTTCCTCTTCTGTTTATTCAATTTTGCTTTCCGGAGTTCGTTGATGGCATTTATTAATCAACTTCTTTCAGCAGCTGAATTAGTCAGCATCTTTGCTCGAATTGTCCTCTCCGACTCCACCCTCACCCATATGCTAATTTTGTGGTTTGGGGGGATCTCTCATTAATTCTGGGGGAAAAAATTCCCTTGGTTGAAAAAAAAAAGTTTTCTACAATATAGTAATTTGTAAAATATTTATCAAATTACTAGAGTTTGAGGTTGTTCATCGGACAATAAAGCGAACTACACAATGGTTCGCGAGAAAGGAGAGCGACTAGTCAAGAATATAACAAAATTTTAGATCATATTTTACACATCATCATTTTCAATGACAAGTCAGACTTGAATTTTAAAAAACGACTCATACTTGAATTTTAAAAAATATATTAATATGTATGTTGTGACTTGCAACTCTTTCGATAAATGTTACCAAGAAATCAACTATAAATTGATATTTGATTTGGTAAGAATTGAGATGTAGTAGCGTTCTTAAAAGTATTTTTTTTTAAAGAGGAACATAAGAATTAATGAATTGAATTTGGAAAAATTAATAGATTTGTAAATAAATTCAATTTAAATTTCAAGGATTGTCAAACGATGTTGAGTTCAATACTATCATCACCAAAATAAAATTTTCACTAACTTTTTGTCCCAATTCAAGAGCCAATGTTTGTCAGTTGAATACCCTTGGTAGGGGTGGTATTCGGTCGGTAACCGGTAAACCGGTTGCCGACTTACCGGTTTACGGTATGCCGAGTGTGGGTAAGTGTGAATCGATTACTGATACCGGTTGTAACCGGTTTACCGGTTACCGAATTACCGGTAAACGGTTACAAATCGGTTTTACCGGATTACCGTAAGGAGTAGTTGCGGACGGTTTTTCAGTTCGGTTTAGCAGAAAATTACTGAACCGAATTTCTGGACAGTGGGGTGATGTTGTAATATTTTGATTTTTTAGAGTTTTTTTCTTCATTTTTGTAATTAATAATTTATTATTAACTCTTATTTATAATATTTTTGAGAACTATACTTACTTACTTCCATTCATGTATGTAATATTTGTGAATAATGAAGTATATGTTATATGTTAATGCCTTAACTGGTCCGGTATCGGTATTACCGAATTATCGTCGGTATTTACCGATACTGGGGCCGGTAAACCGCGCTTCCCCATTTGACCCTCGGCTGCCGATATCGTTGGTTACTGGTTCGCTAAAACGGTAAATCGTTTACCGAATTACCGTTTGTCACCCCTAACCCTTGGGACAACATAGGTCCACCCTTGAGAAACCTCACACTAGTTCGTTGCCAAGTTTAGCGAACTATATATAGTGGTTCGCTGCCAACAAATTAAGGCGAACAAGTTGGTTACTAGGAAAAGAAGCGAACAATGTATATCATTCATTGCCTGGAAAAGCAATCTACAGTGGTTTGGTGGCAAGTGGAGCAAACAATGTCAAATAATTTTGTGCAGTCGTTTTTCCCCCGATATGTTTAAGGATAGGGTGCATGGATATGTATTCTCAATGGAGAGGATCGCTGAGTGGCTAGCGAACTACCCCTTAGTTGTACGAAAATAAATACTCATCCCCCTTTCATTCATGTCTTCATTCTGTAAAACAGAAACAACAAAAGAAGCATAAAGAACACGGAATTTTTAGCAAAGAAGAAGGAGGTTCATTGAGGTTCTGCCATATTCAGGTATGTTTTGTTCTGTTGGTTGTAATATGGATTACATTAGCCTTTGAATGTAGGTTGAATTTGGAGTAGGATTTAGATTAATGCTTGGTTGTTACATTTAGATTTAGTTTTATTGTTGTTATATTTAAGGTATGGTCTATTGGTTCCTTGAGTTTCTTCCATTTCAAGGTATGTTTTGTTGGTTGTAACATTGGTTACATGAACCTTTGAATGTAAGTTGAATGTAGATTAAGGTTGTGGATTAATGTTTGGTTGTTATATTTATATTTAGGCTTTGAATTGTATATAATTTATGCTACTGTATAAATTGTAGAAATGGGAAAGCATTTTTGAAAGTTCGACCTATTGATTCGATTGAATGGTCCAGTGACAAGATTTCAAAATAGTGAAACCATTGTTCGAACTTAGAGTGGATTTGGTTGACATGGTCTATTCCACATTTGTGAGGAATGATGTAGCACATGTGACCGAAGAGTATGGAAGATGGCATACCAAATCCCAATATACAGTTGTTATGCAACGAGGTATGAAGAAATCATGTTTGACGATGATAGAATTAATATGATGTTGAAGTTCATAGCGGGGACCTAATTTTCAGTTGGCAATGTGTTCATTGAGACAAAAGAGGTGGGCAAGTATGATGGTGGTGGTTACGCCAAACACGATGAAACTTTGGGTGGAGTTTATTGTTCCGGTGGTTATGGATTTTCGAACAGTGTACCGTGGCCAAAATATGATGCTTTTGTTGCACCTGGTCTGTCGGTTGAATATGATGGTAAGGAATGGCCAGTATGGGTTGAAGAATGGACCAACATAGGAGCATACACATAAGAATCGGTCATGAATGATGATCCTTGTTTAGATAATTCAAGCCATCCTATACAAGTGAGACACGTATCATGGAAGATTTAGAGTAAGTGAGTAATAAAGATGTCAGTGAGGGAGAATTGCGCCCCCACACCTCACTGCTGATAGTGATGATCCGAACTGTCCTCATGTACCCATATGGAATTATAATGCAGGTTTGTAGTTGGGAAATTTTTTGGAGAAAAGCTACATGTTGTGGATGAGTTGAAAGAATATGCAATGAGTAATGGCTTTCAATATCGTGTCATCGCTTCGGACACTAAACCAATTCATGTACACTGTGAGAACTATGGAGTTGGATGCATGTGACATGTGTTGAGATGCATATGTTAAGAGCCATGGGGGTTGCCTTATTCATAAGGTGTATACCATCCACACATATAATTTCTTAACTCTTTATCTTGATCATAGGGTATTAAATGCAAGGAAAGTTGCACAAATGATAAAGCATCAATTTGAGGCATAACCTGTGATCACTACAAAGGTTATCATTGAAGTAAAGAACAGACATAGATACAGTATCAGGTGCAAGACAGTATGACATTGACATCGAAAACAGAAAGAAATGACAGAGGTTTATTGATATTGGGTCAAGTCATTACCTAACCTACCCTCATTGATTCTGGCATTTGTTAGCAAAAATCCTTGTTAAATTTTTGTTCCCTAATACTAGGATAATGTAGGGGAAAAACGAGTGTTTGATCAAATGTTAGGGCATTCAAACCATGCATTGATGGTTTCGACCACTGTCTACCAACAATCCAAGTGGATGACACCTTTCTAATGTGTAAATACAAAAGCACTCTACTCATTGCCACAATCTTTCTGCCTGCATTTGTTGTACTTGAATCGGAGAACAAATATGGTTGGTTATGGTTGTTCCTCCAACTATACACTCGAAGAACTACTACTTATCAAGCCTGAAAGTATATAGACAAGATGAAGAATATAAGAGAGGTCCACTGTGAAGGTATAGATTGGCTATGACATCATTATTTTGAGAAGTGAACATTATTCCAGGATAGAGGGTATAGGTATGACATAAAAAAATGAACATTGGGTAAGAGCCTCAACGTTATGTTTGTTGATCTTCATGCAAAGCCAATATCAACTCTTGTCTGGCATACCTTCTTCCAGACTATTACATGGTTCGTTAAAAGGTACCAAGCGGTAGTTTAGATTTTAAACACTGGATTCCACGTCCCTCGGAAGATAACAGATGACATATGTCTAAGGGGGATAGGTCCAACTTGCATAAGGTGACTTTGTTCAGTCGAATAGATGACCTCTTCAGAGTAGAAACTGGAAGGCAGCTGCTAACACAAAAGGAGGCAATGCTCAAACGATCACACATTATGTAGTGAATGGAAAAGGGGAATGCATTTGCAGGAAGTTTCAAGGGATATATGTCCCTTGCTCTCATGCTTATGTCTCTACCAAACGCGTTCACATCGACCCCACTATCATTTGTTAGTCCATACTACAAAACTCAAAGTGTCATCAACATTTGGCAAGGTTCATTTGTGCCTTTAGCTCATGAAATTTATTGGCCAGTGTATGATGGACTAATATTCTTCCCTCCCGTGAAAACAAAGAGTACCAAGCATCAACCTAGAGTAAACATGATTCGAAATTATATATAGATAGATCAAGGATACCTTAATGACATCAAAACCGGTGCTTTGCATGTCGAGTTTAAGGGCATGACAGGCAGCATTGCCCAGGACCAGTAGCAAACAATTTATACTTATGTTGTTCTATTAAGAACATGTTGTTGTTTCATAAAAATATGTCATTGTTATCTTGTAATGAGTATGTTTTTATTTTTACTTTGCTCCGTTATTTTCAAATAGGCAACAATTAGAAAAAACAAGCTAAAATCAAATAAACAAATTTGAGAGATACATTCAAGATGAAAAACAATAACAATAAAATATGAACTTGTCCTTAAAAAAGAAATCATTACCAAGCCCAATCAAAACAACTCTAGAAAATACAAGAATATCTATAGTCAATCTTCTCCCGTAACATTGATCCCCTCTTTGTACACTACGACCTCATCCATCTCCCCGGTCCCTGCACTTGTGACGAACTTGATGCGCAACCT